CTCCACACCTTGGCCCTTGCTGTGCCTTCTCTCGGACCATCATGCCCATTGCCAGCCCCACATCCACAGCACGCCCGTGGCATTCCGGCTTGAATGCTCCCTTGCATACGTTCCCTTAACCCCCCCGATGGACTTCATCCCTCTTTCTTCTAACCCCCCAAATAACATCCTCTCCCCCTTTCTCGTCATCCCATCTGATGATACAAGCTTGAACTGTGTGAAACTGCTGGTCTGCCACCGTTTTTGACCTGCAAGAATGGAAATCTCATACAGTGTGACCTAATAGTGATTTATGACAGTGATTATGTCCAAGATCACATTTTCCTGCCCGAGTACATGCCTCTGGAAGCAGGATCCGCACCACATTCGTTTTTGAAACCCCGTGGGCTAGGCTGGGACCTTACCTGCCCTCCTTTGCAGGGAGACAGGGAGGGCACTGGTACTCAGCTCCCAGCCTTGGCTCAGCAGCCCTCCCACCAGGAGGTCTTCTCTGGCCCATCATCCCAGCCTCATTGGGAGCCCCTCTGTATGTCCCCACAGACCCCTCACTCCCCTCCCATCACCTCCTAACACTGGGTGCTTGCTGCCCAGCTCTTTGGCTCTCTCACCTTCGGGGACAGTGTTCTTGAGGATGGGGTCCAAGTCTCATTCACCACAGGTCCCCAGCACCAGCCTGGGCACCACCAGGAGTGGTGGTGAAGGGCACCCCTGCAGTGTCACTGCACACTCGTGCACTGGGCAAATACAGCACAATTAGCTCTGCGTCCTCAGACACCCTTCTCTGGGGTCAAATATTTCACAGGACTTTGCTCTTGACTTCAAGGGTGGGAGAGCGTGGATGGTTCCCCGGCCCCCTTCCCATGGCTGGGTGCCACGGTCTCCTTTCCACTTGCTGCACACAGGATGAAATGGAGGTCGGCTACATCCAAGCTCCACACAAGACACTGCCCGTGGTCTTTGACTCCCCGAGGGACAGAGGACTGAAGGAGTTCCCCATCAAACGCGTGCTGGTACCTGCATGGGGTGGGAGGGGGGCACAGCTGTTGAAACCCCTTTGCCTCGAGGCTTCCTTGCTCATGAGCCTGCCTTCCCCGCCCTGCCCCTGTGGCTGAGTAGCCCAGCCCCGGCAGGTGGAATTCCTGCTCAGGTGGGGATCATGCAGGTGGGGCTTGTTATTTTTGTCATTACTGTGATAAGATCTGGCTCTTCATTTCCCAAAGCCCTGCCACCAATGAGTTCAGCTCATCCCAAGATAACTTACTGAGGAGGTGGCTCAGACTTGGACATCCTCACGGTAGTGAAGATGCTCTTGCTGCAGGGTGGGGGTGGGGCCAGGACTGGGACCTCTCCCAACGTCCAGCTGGAGGCTCTGTCTTTTGGATGGGTTTTAGCCTTCAGGGGCTCCATCTGGGATATGGGGGAGAGGTGTTTCAGGATCAGTGGTCATTTCCTAGGTGTGACTTTATCAGCCAAAGTGGGGTGTGGCAAGTGACATATTGGTGACTCGTGCTTGACTAGCCTGGCAGATTGATGCAAACTCAGTCATTTCCTAGGTGTGACTTTATCAGCCAAAGTGGGGTGTGGCAAGTGACATATTGGTGACTTGTGCTTGACTAGCCTGGCAGATTGATGCAAACTCAGCACACAATAATAATAAATAATAATAATAATAATAATAATAATAGTTGCATTTATTGAGCATGTGTCAGTCACCATGCTAAGTTCTTTATATACACTGACTCATTTAATTTGACAAGCTTTTATGGAGATGCAATAATAATAATAATAATAATAATAATAATAATAATAATAATAATAATAATAATAATAGTTGCATTTATTGAGCATGTGTCAGCCACCATGCTAAGTTCTTTATATACACTGACTCATTTAATTTGACAAGCTTTTATGGAGATGTTATCAATAGACCCATTTTATAGATGAAGAAACTGAGGGTCAGAGTGGAGAAGCTGGAATTCCAACCAGGCCAGTCTGGCTTGATGAGCATGCCCTTCCTTACCCTGCCTCCCTGCTTTCCTGGAAGACCCCAGGTGTGCACTCTGAGCCCTGGCAGCCCCTTGACTCCAGGTACCCAGGGAAAATGGAGGAAGAAATGTGGGGTACAAAGTCTGCTATGATGAATGGCTTTCCAAAGAGCACCCATACTCCGAGGGAAGGGAAGATGGCCCTGCCCACGCAGGAGGCAGCAGAAGAAAACCTCAGTTTAACTCAACAATGAGCCTCGCTTCCTCCCAGCCAAGCCCTGCGCTGAGCCATGGAGTTGAGTTAATCCTGTTTCAGGAGCGTCATAATAAACTAGGCAGCTGCTGCTGTGACTGCCCCCTTCTCATTGGTTTCAGCCCTACCTTGATGAGTGGTTGCATCTTCAACTTTATACTTCAGTTATGACAAAAGCCAGATTCTCTGATGTCACAAGCAAACGTCCAGAGTCCTATTGGACAGACAGACAGCTCGGCACAGGTCTCTTCACCTTTCCCACGGACAGCCTGGGGTGAGGGAGGCCGCCGCACTCCCTCAGCTAAGCACAGCCTCAGTATTCTAACTCACATTACTTTGCATGGAAAGAATTCGAGTAAAAGTCAACCTGGTCACCAGGCTTGGCCCCACCTGCTTCTCCAACATGAATGGGCCACTTTCCTCCTGCTTCACCTGGCTCCATCCCCACTGGGCTCCTTCCTGTTATTCAAGTTTGCCCAAGTTTTCCTCACCTCCCAGCCTTTGCATATGCCGTTCCATCTGTCTGGAATGCTCTTCCCTGCTCCCGGGGCAGGCTGTTTCCCAGTCTTCAGGTCTCAGCTTCAATGCCTGCTCAGGGAGGCTCTCCCTGACCTGCAAAAGACCCACCCCAGCCCCCAGTGCTCTCACTACAGCCCCCGCAGTTTCTTCCAGAGCATTTGTTACAAGTCACTGACTTGTCCGTTCGCTTTTTGTTGTCTGCCTGCCCCGCAGGGCGAGTACATCGAGGCAGCTAGCACGCACGCGACTTGACGCACATGGGTGTTCTTTCCGTAAGATAGTGTCAGTAAATTTTTTATCACCACTGCAATGGGAAACCTGGAGCACTTACCATAAATAAAAGGCGACTGTGAATTCACAGAATTAAAACAAAACAATGCTGTTAAAGCCAGCTCCATACAAGTGACTGCAAAATCTCTGAGCCCCAGGTCTGCTCTCTGGTTGTTAAGATGAGAAATTAGCAGGTGTTAAGGATGTATTTGCACCACTCCGGGAAATTAATTTTTGAGGAACCAGAAAGACTGGCGAAAAGTTGAAAGGACAACACGTTGCTGACTTTGTGCCTCGAAGCTGCATCACCTAGCCCGTGTAAGCATCCCCCGAATATCCCACTCTTGGGGAGCTGCTTCTTCAGACAAGGGACACCCCTTCATTTGCAGAAATCCAAGCCCGAAGCCTGTATAACTGATCCCCTCCCATGGCTACAGCCAGGGCTGTGTTTTGTTTGAATTCATCATTCATTCATCGAACATTCTTTGAGAACATACTCCATGCCAGGGCCTGTTCTAGGCACACGGGATACATCAGTGAGCAGTGTCAAGGGGTCTGCCCTCATGGAATTGACATTCTGGCCCAGAAAGACAGATGACAAACGGTAAATATGACAAAGCAATTGTATGGCACGCTGGAAGGTAATGTCAAGTGTTATAGGAACAGACGGTGGAGTCACGGAGCTCACGGGTGTCAGAGTGGTGGTGGGGGTAGGTGGATTAGATTCAATCTTAAATAGGATGGAGGCCTCATTGAGAAGCTCACATTGGAGCAAAAACTTGAAGGAGGTGAGGGAGCTGGCCATGTGCATGCCTGGGGGAAAAGTGTTCTAGGCAGAGGGAACAGCCAGTGCAAAGGTCCTGGGGCAGGAACATGCCTCATGTGTTCAAGGAACAGCAATGAGGCCAAAAGGGGTAGAACAGAGCAAGCCAGCAGAACAATGGTAGGAGAGGTGGTCAGAGAGGTGACAGGGAACCAGGGCAGGAGGGGAGATCGTGTGGGCTTGTTGGCCACTGTGAGACCATTTGTTTAGAATCTGAGAAAGTGGGAATCGTTGCAAGGTCTTAAACAGAGGAAGATTACGATCTGGTTTATGTTATAAAAGGGAACAACATCTGGCTGCGTGTTGAAAATAGACAGCAGGGGCCAAGGGGAAAAGCAGGGAGAGGAAGCGGGTGAGATGAGGGGGCAAGACCAAAGCGGGCAGGGGACGAGGTGAGAAGTGGCCAGATTCTGGATACGTTTGGACTGCAGAGCCAAGAGGACTTTCTGACCACTGCAAGAGAGACAGGCCAGAGATGACATCAAGGCTGTGACCTTGAGTGGCAGGCACTGTCCCCTGAGAGGGGAGGACTGTGGGAGGAGGAACAGGCTGGTGGGGGATGAGGGGGTGGGAAGAAGAGATCGGCAGTTCTGTTTGGGACAGAGGGAAGTCAGGCAGGCATGGGATATTTGTCTGATGTCCGGGAGAGACGGGAAGACTGGAGACATAAATGCAAGGGTTGTCAGCATGTGGATAGAATTTCTAGAGACCAGGAGAGATGACTAAAGGAGTGCATGAGGTTGGAGGAGAACCAAAGATGCATGGTGTCTCGGAAGCCAAGTGCAGAAAGTGCGCCTAGAACATGGGCGTGGCCAGCTGATGGGAGCACGAGGCCCAGCATCGCCCGTTGGGTGTGGCCGCACGGTCATGAAGACCTTGATGAGAGCAGTTTTGATGGAGCGATGGAGGTGGAAGGCAGACTGGCATGCATTTTAAAGAGAAAGGGGTGAGAGGAATTGGAAAAGGTGATTTTTAAATTTGTGGAATACAGACCTCCTTGAAACTATTTGTCTTCCCCAAAACATGCACCCGGGCACACAGTTTGGAATCTACGCTCAGGAGGTCCCTGGCCCCCATGAAGTACTGGGGTACAGAGCATCAATTTGTCGAAGGCCAGAGCTGGAGGTACAGCCTCTCCTGGGAGGCAGGGGTTAAAGTGAATAATGACTTCTCAAATATGTCCATGTCCTAATCCCCAGAACCTGATGTTTCCTTACATACAACAGGCGCCTTGCAGACGTGATTAAGTTAGAGATCTTGCAATGGGACAATTATCCTGGATTATTCAGGTGGATTCTATGTAGTCATGACACTCCTTATAAGAGAGAGGAAGGCCTCCAGGACTGTAAGAGAATAAGTGAGTGTTATTGTAAGTCACAAGGGTGGTGGCGATTTGTGACAGCAGCCTTAGGAACCTCCCATGATGGGTGAGAGATCTGTCACCTGCTCCTCTCCTGAAGACTCCTGTGGAGACATCACGGCCACTCTGAGAAGCTCGTCCCAGCCCGAGATCAGTGTGGACAAGAGCGCCTGTCATAGACGCAACTCAGATCCTTGTCCTTCCACAGATTGGCCTGTGGATGTGACCTGAGGATGCCTTGTCACTGTTCTGAGCTTAGATTCTTCATCTGCAAAATGAGGATAAAATGATATTTTGAGATTTCGTTAATATACCCAAGTTAAGATCTACGAAGCAGCTGGCGCGCATTAGGTCTCAACAAATGCTTACCGCTTTTCTTGCCCACCGGATAGATTCGACATTCCTTCAACACTCTGCAAATGACAACAGTAGTTGCTATGTACCAGCCACTGAGAGTCACTGAATTCGTTCCTGTGACCGAGTCCATCTTCACTCTTGGACCCCAACCTGTTTTCACCCAGGGACTATTTCCTCTAACTCGCGGTGCCCACTCTTCCCATCTCAGGGTCCGGATTTTGGCTATGTGACTCGAAGACCCCAAACAGGGGAGATCACAGGGCTCGACTCCTTTGGGAACATGGAAGTGAGCCCCCCAGTCACAGTGGGGAAGAAGGAATACCCTCTGGGCAGGATTCTCATCGGGAACAGCAGTTACCCCAGGTAAGGAGGGGAGGGACAGGAAGGGGCCGCCAGGACCCAGGAATACTGTGGAAAAGCAGAAGCCTCCCCTACCTTCTTTCAACCCAAGACGGACCAATGAACTTTAGGGAGGGCGAGAGGAATCAAAGTGCAGGATAAGAAATACAGGTTGTGGAGCCCATTCGACCTAAGTTCAAATTCCGACTCTGTCACTTACATTCTTTCAGTCAGTGAATATTTACTGAATATCTACTATGTGCGAGGAGCTGAGAATGAGGCCGTGAACGTGACAGACAAGTCCCTGCCACTATTCTAGTGGGGGAGACAGATAATAGAAAAGTAAATAAAGAATTTCAAATAGTGAAGAAAAGAAAAAAGAGAGGCAGAGGAGGGGTGGGAACTATGTTAGAGTGACCAGGGAGGGCCTCTCTGGGGAAGGGGCTTTCAGGCTGAGGGCTGATGACAAGAAGGACATGGCTGCGTGGAGACCTAGGGCAGACCGTTCCTGGCAGATGAAGGAGCATGTGCAAAGGCCC